ACTACTGGATCAATTCTCCCCTGACAAAAACCCTTCTGTCTAACCTCTCGGCTACATGTCTCATCCCAGCCCCAGGAAAGCACAATTTAGTCCTACGTTTTATCTTCTCGCACAAAAAAGCCCTATCCATAACTCACCTGGCTGTCACTAACTACTACGACTCACTCTTGTGGGCAGGGTTTGTACAACTGCCCTTTCCTCTCCTCTTTTTGATCCATACTGTCCTGCTTTTCTCTCTCTTCCTCGCCAGCTTCCTGCAGCACCTGGTAAGGGTTACTACACTCCACACCCCTGGTCAGCTTTCTCCTTGAGCTCATCCCTCAGTCCCTGGAGACAACCACTTCCACGCCTGCTCCTCCTTCGCAGGGTGTCCTGCCAGGTGACACCTACCTGAAGCTGTTCCGTCCTGAGGGCTTCATTTTCCCCTTTAGAGTGTCAACTCACTCCTCAACTGCCCCAGCTGCCTTAACAGAGTGGCAAGGAGGTCGTCTTTCCCCACACCTCCCCCACGACACAACGATCCAAAGCGGCCATTTTCCTTGGTCTCTAACGGGAGCACGATCGGGCACGACCTTCTCCAAGCTGGACTGCAAATTCTCAAGGCACGTAAAAACATTGTTGAAAATACTGATTGTTTGACTTTATTATGGTGGGCAGAATAATAATGAATGTACGAACACACATTAGTTGGTTTTCTATAAATACTGAACTTAAAAGTGTTACCTATTCTGTGTATCAGACAGTCTAGGAATGGCAATTTACAGTCTTGTTTCTAAATCATGTTGAATGCTTCGGTCTTTTTAAACATACCAAAGCATTCAACATGAATTTGAATAACGGCATGTACAAGCTGGACAATTTTGTAATTAAGAAGATTTGTAACCAGGTGAGAAGGCCGGGTGTGTCATAGGAGGGAAGATCAGCTAAAACTAATGGCCCATCACTTTTTGGATTAGTAGGGTCATTACCTAATACCTCTGACCATTGTGACCTGGTCTCACCTCCTCTGTATATATATAATCTTTGGTTTGTATTTCTCTAGTCTGTGCTCACCCCCGAAGATGTGAATACACCTAAAGCTAGCTTTTTGGGAACTTCTGTGTTTTTCTTTTCTTTTCCTTGTGGTTATCAGCATATAAATTAGAACACGTACCCACAGTGATTTACTTGCATATATATATATATATTAGGGTGTGTCATAGGAGGGAAGATCAGCTAAACTAATGGCCCATCACTTTTTTGGTAGATTTTAGTGTATATAAACAGAAAATAATTTCAGTTTCAATATTTTGCAACCTTTGCTAGGGGTAAATTTTGATGGAAATTTATCGAAAAATTCAGTACAGCTGTATTAGTGCATTACAATTAAATAGTGAACATTAAGCTTGACTTCATTCTTAACAACCCAACTAAAAATATTTTTTTCTGTTTCAGGATTCTGATGCATTTATAAGTTGATAATATTTTATGATGGCTGCTTGTGTCAGATTTAGGAACCAAAAATCCAGCCATCTCAGTCACTATCTTGGGTCTGGGGAGAGAGTCTTCCTGAAGTCGGAGTTGCCTACATTGAGAGATGCTTTGAGATACGGGTGTTTTAATCAGGCAAATCAGTGAAAAAGAACCAAAGAACTTTACACAAACAAAGACATTAAGCAGTGATATGACCAAAGCTGTCTTGGCACAGTACACCTTGGCTAACGCCAGTTCAAGCTTCCAGTCATGTCAAGTCAGAAGAAGATTAGTGAGAGACTGCTAGCCAGTTGGGAAAAGGCAAGAGATATCTCTCTTGGGAGAGGAAAACTTGGTAGTTATGACAGCTTTTGACAAGCAACTGACTCAGTTATTTGACATAATTATTTTAAAGTGCCCAATTGTTCTCTGTCCTGAGTTTCTGGCGCGATCGTGGACTATAAACTGAGGCCCCAAGATCTCCAGCTTGCAAGCCGTGAACTGAAGATTCCTGTGACGAACTGGCATTTATCAAAGCATAGAGAGAAGATTGGCAGTATAGGGCCTCATGATTTTAGCCAAGATATTCCTGGAGCCCAAGAGACAGGAGGCCACAGAGAGACAGAAGAGGAGAAGAGTTGCCGAGAAAAGAGACTGGAGAAGGCCCAGGGTGAGGTAAAAGGCCTATGATTGGAGTCAAGCTGATTCAGAGTTTCAATGACTTCCCCATGGCTGGGATCCAAGTGCTGACCAGGAGAATGGTGACTGTCCCTAACCCAGAAAATAATGGGATCCCCAAAACCTTCCAGGCATAAGATTCGAAATAGAAAGATATCCCCGAGCATAGCTCTGGCCAGCATGCACACCACACTGGTCTCAGAGAACTGCAGAGATAGCAGCAGCTGCCTGGATTGACGGGTGGTTTGATGTTCCAGGATAGATCATAACAAAGTAAGGAGAGCTCAGAGAAACTTGTCAGTAACCTAGAAGAGGAGTTTGGATAAGGATAAGAGAAAATGGAATCAATTGTTTGTTCTTTGATGGGAGAAGGATGACACTAAAGTGTTCATGAAAGTTGAGATTCTGACAAGTTGTTCCCCGCCATGGTGAAGGAGGAACACTACTCCTGCTGCAGTGAACCACGAGGGAAGTATTTGTGGCATTTCACTGTAAAGAAAGATGACATCAGGAACCAATGAGATAGTGGGTGTATATTGATTGTGAACTGGCTCAGAGAGAGAACGTGAGATCAGACCCTGCAGGCCATTGAAGGGGACAGCACCAACACGAACACAGGGTGGCAAGGGGGGGCTAAGTACAGTGATGGGAGTTTTGAAGATTGGGAGGAAGCTGGTCTGGATTGCTCAGACTCCTCCATACACCAACGAAAGGCTACTCAGACATCTGATCCAGAGCTGATGGCAAGACTCTTCAAACAACAGATGGTCTGGTCCTCTTGGCAAGATGCTGGACTCTGCCACTGAGTTAGAAATAAACCGAGCTTTGAAAAATCACAGTTGGCCCTCCACTCGTTGGAGCTTGCACATACTGTCATTGACTTACCTGAGTACTGACCAGTACTATGGTTACATGATTTGCAGTGCCATCAAAACTGGGGGTCATGCCTTGGATAGACTTGGTTACCTGCAGATAGGTCCAGTCTCACATTCTAGGTGGTTTGCCAACGGCTCTCAGGTTCTGCAGAATTTAATGCCATCATAAACTGGAAAGGGAACCAGAAGCTTGCCAACCTGAGACTTATTATTGTCCAATTCATCGTGAGTGTTCATTTTTGCCAAATTGGTTCAACACCAAGGTCAAGTCATCAAGTCCTGCCGTCCGAGGCATGTTCTCTTCCAGCTTGAGCTCCCTGAGAGTCAGCCAAGGAAGGTTGTTCAGATTGTGAGCAGACTGCAGAGGAGATCTTCTGGTATGCTCATCCTGGAGTAAAGTTCTGCAGACAATGCTCTGCAGTAAGGATGAGGAGGAGAGAAGAGTGGCAGTCAAAAAGATCTTGGATATGAGACTGGCAGATCTGGGCATGACGTATCAGTTGGTGACTTCCATTCCTTCAGGTCAGGAAGACTCTAAGTCAATCTAGGTGCCAAGACCTCACTGGATCTCATAGATCTGGATAACATCCAGGCTGGCAGTGAGCCCCTCTACCTCGCAGCCTCACCAATGTTCAAGCCAGAGCTTTCCTGACAACCCCATGCATGTCCTGCCTGGCCCTCAGACACCCAGAGTATAGAGCGCTGTGTACAGCAAGGAGCGAAAGCCAGCAGTCACGGTACAGCCAGGAGAGGAGGGAAGCAAGACCCGAGCCTGTGTGGTCAGCAGGGAGGTGGAGAGTAGAAACAGAAGCAAGAAAGACATGTTCTATGGTGTGCAACACCGGTCGTAGTAGTAAAACCGGTTTTTGTATTTGATGATTTTGTTTTCTAAAGGAATATTAATTTAATTAAAATGTGTCAAGATCATCTTTGCTTTAATTATTCTGGATCATTTTCATCCTAATAAATTAACCTGATACATTTACTCTTTACTTTTAAATAAGCCATTTTAGTGGTGTTGCAAAGGGTAAATACTGAATTTTCATAAGATTTCAAATTAAAATTTACTAAGCAAAAATGAAAAACTTTTTCTCTAAATCTGAAGATATCACATGATTTCTACAGAACTACATCATTAATACTATAACATTTTTTTCAAACTCAAAAAACAGTATAATATATATATATATATATATATATATATATATATATATATATATATATATATATATATATATATATATATATATATTTTCATGTAAATCCACAATGAAAATGTTTTTAAGCTCACCCTGTATATTTAAGCCTCTCTCTGTCCATGTAATCCAGTTGCCTCTGAAGATGTCTTGAATAAAGACGAAAGCTAAGGTGTTCCGTTGTTTCCATTTTCCCGTGTGATTTTATTAAGATATATATATATATATATATATATATATATATATATATATATATATATATATATATATATATATATATATATAATTCATCGTAAATAAAATATATAATACAAAATACAAAATGAAAAATAAAATAATATAATATAAATGATAATAATAATAACAGCAATAATAATAATAATAATAATGAAATACAAAAATTTAAAAAAGTTCAAAAGTGGGAACAATATATGTATGTTGTGTTGTCAATAGTACGAGAAACAATTGAGACCCTGCAATTGTGTGTAAATGAGGCAGAAAGTCAGATGAGCAACCTGGGACTTGGTCACAATTTTCGTGATGCCATATGGCAGCAGGATCTACCATTAGACAACACATTATGCTTCCAATATCTTTCCAGGCAGTAGTACCTCCCTTTTTGGTTGCTGCCTACTACTTACTACCTACATATATATACTGTACATACAGTATATATATATATATATATATATATATATATATATATATATATATATATATATATATATATATATATATATATATATATATATATATATATATATATATATATATATATATATATGTGTGTGTGTGTGTGTGTGTGTGTGTAAACAAGTTATGCAGTATTATCCGGGACCAAAGATGTGTACCTCAGGGAAGGAGTAGCCAGCGAGGGTGGTGTTGGCGGTGGCGCTGTGTACGACACCCAGGGGAACGATGGTGCCCTTACGCTGTACCTCCCTCAGTGTCGCCTCCAAGTACACCAGCCTGTCGGGGAGATATTGTTAACTATCTCACATACAAATTCTCTTCGTGAACAACTTTCTCATGACAATACGGAGAGATTCACAGAGAGAAAAATAAGTACAGTTTTTGATGTTTCTTTCAAAATAAAATAAACGAGAAATAAGTCTGAGTAGTTATGCATAAAAACTGGTTTTGGTCAAATACAACATAAACAGGAGATTAATCTATTAATCTAATAAAAAGACTAAATTGAGTATTAAGATCATTATTGTTTTGATGGCGTAAACTGATAAAAGTCACCTTAGTGAAGTGTCACGTACTGAATGTACAGTACAGTATGTCACTCACCACCCAACCGAACACAACGATTTCACACCACCTTTTTTATCCGCGTCAGCCGTGTCGGGTAAGAAACAAAACAGCGGTACATAACTGAAAATGACTTGACCCTTAACAAATCTTCATTGAAAGGCAAACAAGACACAAAAGATGACTGCAGCAGACGACGTGTTCCTCTACCATGCAACTTATTCTCTCCAACAAACATAAAAGACGCAAACTGGCAACTCTATGTAGATTCTTTTTTATCCCTGAGATGATGTTTAACAGAGAGAATAAACCTCACCCGTTTATATTTTCCCTAATTAACTTATCAAACTTCATTTATTGTTTCCGAGAATTATGTTTCTTAAATTTCAATACTTGACGACTTATGAGTTTTTTCTATTTTTGGTTTTAGTTTAGGTCAATATATACAGTAGAGGTATATGGTCGTTGTTCTCCTGTCTGGTTACGATGTCTTCCCTCTCGCGTAAGACCTAGTCTGAGGTATACGAATACCTGCTCTGTGTCAATGGTTACACTCATTCAAGACTTTTTCCGCTTATGACAGGGTGGCCGGAACTAACAACTAACAGACACACATAGACATAAACTCACACACATTCACATACACATATATAAACAGATACATATGTACACAAACACATAAACGCTACCACTACTTTGCTGTCACTCGGAATCGAGTATGATGATCATCCAGCTCTGATACAATGATATAAGCTACTAAGGATGTCACCTTCATTGGTGAGCGTTGAGGTGACTCGAGAGGCCAATACGGGACTGGCAGGGTCTTCCACAGATGTTGCACGTATGGAGGGCTACACCGGCGACTTTCCGGCACTGGTGCTTGTCTGCCTTAGTATGCAGTCGAGCTAACTCAAAAGTATTGACACCTTCTTGTGTGGTGCTCCTCCAAGCGTTACGGTGTGGAATAATCGTTTCCCAGGCGACGGGGTGGATTTGTCACTTTTTTCAGGTTTGTCTTAAGACTATCTTTATACCTTTTCCGAAGTCCGTCAGCATTACGTTTACCTTTCGTTGGGTGACTGTAAAGTAGCAGCTTGGGCAGCTTACTGTCATCCCTGCGGGTGACAGGGCAAGTCCAAAGTAGTTCTTCATGGATAATGGTAGCCTCGATGCTCCTACAGTTGGTGTTTTCCCAGCGAACTCGGAGGATGGAAAGTAGACTACACTGGTGAAAGTTTTCAAGTGCCTTGAGTGGTCTCCTGTATGTGACCCATGTCTCGTTGCCATACAGAAGGGTGGAGAGGACCACTGCTCGATTCACGTGTATTTTGTAGATAATTTCTGCTCCCTACAGCTGAAAACACGGGTACAGAGTCTGCCAAAGGCTTGAGATGCACATCTGATCCGATGTTGAATCTGTTCATCGATGTCCGTGGTGGTGGACAGGTACTGGAAGTGGGTAACATTAAAGAGAGTAGTACCGTAAAGCTGGATGGATGGTGGAGGTGGGGCTGAACCAGGGGCAGGATGAAAGAGAATAAGAGTCTTACGTGCATTCACCACAAGGCCGAAGTATACCTACGGATCTGCGTAAGTGTTTAGGATCTCCTGTAGGTCGCATTCAGTTTGAGTAATAAGGGGAGGTCGTCTTCATACTGAAGTTCAGTGATGGAAGAGGTCGACATCTTTGTTCCTGCCTTGGTAAATTGACACTAGCACGAGTAAGGAAGGCAGCCAAGAAAATGGAAAAGGGAGTTGGTGCCAGTACACATCCATGTTTTTCCCCCTTTTGGATGGGGAAGAGCTCAGAAAGGGTGCCATTGAGTAGGACACTGCCGTTCATGCCTTCGTGGAATTGCCTCACAATGGTAATGAATTTTGGTGGACAGGCAAAACAATTGAGGGTCCGCCAGAGGGCTTCCCTGTTGACCTAGTCAAAGGCTTTAGTAAGGTCAGTGAAGGCCATATACAAGTCACGACGCTGCTCTCTGCACTTTTCCTGTATCTGGTGGGCAACAAAGATCATGTTAATGGTGCCACGTGATAGTCAAAGCCACATTGAAATTCTATGAGGAAGTTTTCTGCCTCAGGAAGAAGTATGTTTAGGAGGACTCGGGCGACAATTTTGCCAGCTACAGACAGCAGTGAGATCCCGTGCTAGTTGCCACAGTCTAACTGATCTCCATTTAAAATATAAATATTGACGATTGACGCATCTTTAAAATTATGGTGGATTTCCTCCTCCTTCCATATATTCTCCAGGAGAGAGTGGAGATGGCTTGGATTCCATCAGGCCCTGTGGCTTTGTTATTTTGCATCTGCTTAATGGCATTAGCTACGTCATCCTAAGGATGGAGAAGAGCTGAGGTGGCTCAGCTCTGGGTGCTGAGGAACCTGCTGGGTACTCAAAACATTCACATCGGTGTTTCAGTTGAACAGTGAATGGTAGTGCTCTTTCCAGTGCTGACGGATATCTTCCTTATCTTTAATTATGAAGTTACCGTGGGATGAGCAGAGAGGAACCACGGCATGAGTGGTTGGGCCATATAGTGTTTTAGTGGAATTGAAAAACTCACACATCTTGTGTTGATCCACTTTTTTTTTTCATTTAACACACTATATTTT